AGTGTAAAGTGATTTTCTCAGTTTCCTAGGCTTCAGGCTGATTAGACATGTTGAGGTGCACTTTGGCTCTGTGACAGTGCTTGACAAAACTGGTAGAGCTGGTGATTCCCTTGAGGGACATTTTTAGTACATAACTCTTAAATAAGAAAACATCTGCTTTTTTCTTACTATTTTTCTGCCTTTTCTTATTTTACCTCTCAAAATGAAAGATGCCAGAGACTGTTGAAAATAGTTTTACTTTCCCCCTGGCATAAAATAATAAGTCTTTTAAAAAGACTGTTAAACTGTTGTTGAGGTTCATCATAGAGGCAGATGGGTCAGAAAAAACATTATCAAAGAATTGATAATAGCACACATAATTTTCTTTCTTTCTTTCTTTCTTTCTTTCTTTCTTTCTTTCTTTCTTTCTTTCTTTCTTTCTTTCTTTTTCTTTCTTTCTTTCTCTCTTTCTCTCTTTCTTTCTTTCTTTCTTTCTTTCTTTCTTTCTTTCTTTCTTTCCTTCTTTTCTTTCTTTCTTTCTCTTTCTTTCCTCTTTAATTTTTTTTTAATTATTTTCCAGATTTTGTCATGAGTGTTCACAGAGCAAATTAATCAAGCTGTTTATTTTATATGTGATATAAGAGCAATTCTAAGGTCTTGTCTGAGCATCCACTACAAGCAAACATAACAAAATTTCTTTGTGTATTACTGGTCTCGATAGTTTTCATAGGTCAGTCATAAATTACCACCTTCAGAGGTCACACAATTACCTTTCAAAACAACATTAAAATAAAGTCTCACTAAAGTCAAAGGAGCAAATTATCCCAAGTCACTTGGGATTAATGCATTCACACACAGATAACAGATACTGATAGAAAAAAGCTTGCTAAAATATTAATAATCTGGGAAACTCAAGGTTTGCCTTACTATGTATCCAAAAGGACTCAAAATATTACATTTACCACTGTCATTTAATTATTTATGGGTGTAGTACAGATAGAGATAACTGAAAATTTTACTAGAATTTGTGTGACATCTTCTCTAACTTGGCTTAATTTCTTGGGATATTTCCAACAAGAAATGTCACAGGCTGTATCATGTCTTACACCTTGGATGCTTTTTTACTCCATGCTGAAAGAGAATATGGAGCTGGCGTCCCTGGCACGGCTGACTTTGAGACATGAAGCTCTCATTTCACTGGTGGCAAGGTCCAATGATCCCATTTCCCTGAAAACACAGCACAAGCTGATAGGCAATCACACTATATAAGAGCTATGGCAGAAGGCAAAACATCGTTGCAATATTCTAACCCTCGTGTGTTCAAGTTCCACAGGAACCTATTATGCTACAAAGGTTTTCAGGAACTCTATAAAAAGCTTTTATTTCATGTTTTCACAGCGTGCAGTTAAGGAAATTACTGGCTGCTACAGGAAGAGAGAAGAGATATGTCCAAAAAAAGTATTGTAGAATCACAGGAGAGAGATTTAAGGCATTTAAAAAATCTAACAATTTTGAATCGATAATAGTTGTGTTCTGTCCCATACAGCTGAGGAACATTTTGAATATTTTATTGTTTAAAGTTTTGAAATTGATGGTTTTGATCAAAAATGTAGCATTGATTTCCAGTGCTGAGTTATTTCTTGGTACCATCAAGAGTTATTAAGGAGAAACTCGCTGTGAATTGTTTGACAGGAAGATTTCTAGAAGTCCATTTTCAGAGCACAAATTGCCTATTCCCTCTGTTTGGGAGGTTTCAGGGCTTCTACACTCTCCTCGTAAAGAAGCTGCTGAAACAAAAATTACTTTTTTTCCACTTAGATGCATTCAAAGCCTTGCTATCAGTTTTTATTAAAAATGTGAAATGAATTTTCAGCAGAGCTTTGACAGTTACATTGTTAATGTGCCTTCAGGCATATAATTAGTAGGAGACTTTAATCTTTTATATTCCATACTTTGATCAGAGCAAATAAGCTCAGAGAAGCTATAAAGTATTGACCAGCATCTTTGATAAAAGAAAGTTGTAAGCACCACTTGAAGATCCTTTCATAAACTGGAATGCACATCATTGTTTCTACATATAATAGACAGTATGTTCTCTTATTGTTGTTATTATTGGTATATCAATCTATCCCATAGAACTGGGATTTTTTTCTTCCTCTCCCCATGGTTTTTTTGACAAAACTTATGATATTAGTCAATATTTATGGAAAAAATCCTTGAAAACTGCTTTCTGTAGCAGTAAATAAATAAATCTATTGACAATTCCATGTGAAATGATTTAACCCATCATTAAGAAAATGGGTCTGGTTAATTGATGTTAGTTGGGGAAGTAATCACATTTTTTCTTACGGAACATCCAAAATTTTCCAGGTGCTTGGAGTTATGAAACATTAAAAAAAATAAAATAAAATATTTTTTTTCTGCTGAAATAGAATAAGTAAATCAATTCATCAGAAATAAAAATATTCACCTCATAGTTAATCTATTTAAAAAAACAAGAAACTTGAAAAGATGTGCTGATTTAAAGTCTTTCTGTTTTTTAAAAAGAAATAAGAATGACTTCTTCTGATTCTTCTTGCTCTCAGAAAGAAAGAAGGAGGGGAAAGATCACATATTGTTTAGTCTGTTTTATACTGGTAGTTCCTGTGGTTTGTGAAGACTCTTGGTGCTCCACTTCTGCCCCCAGTGCACCCCCAGTGAGTCTCCATCCACCCCTGGTGAGCAGCCTTTCAATTTAGGCAGCTGGGGTGAAGAAATCAAAATCACATATTTCCAGCTGTTTTCTCTTGTTTTTCAGCATGAGAGAGCTGTTGGGCCCAGCCTCAAGAGAGAAGGCAAGCTTAATCAGAAATTCTAATGATCACATTCTGTTAATTTTTTTCTTGTTTCATCTATTTCCATAATGAAAATGAAAATGCCTTTTTGTCCCCAAATTTTGCAAAATTAATTTGGTGTATTTGTGACTTGTGATTCATATCATACTAATGACTAATCCCCAAAGGAGAATTCTGTTGGGAAAATACATATGTTCAGTAGATAGTACCTTAAACACATGACCACATATTAAGAAAAAAATATGACCCCAAAGTAAACTTGTTGCTAAATTCAGGAAAAAGAAAAGAGAAAAACAAACAATTTCATTCATTGCATGTTGCACTCAGTTGTTTCAAAGACAGCAGACTATATTTAGCATTCAAAAGAATATCCATAAATAATTCTATATCATCTTTGAGAAATAATAAATTTATGTCTTTTAATTATTTCTTATATAAACAAACTAAAATATAAAAACATTTTAAAGAGTTCATTATGCTGCCTCTAAATTATGAAACTCATTATTCCAATCTCCCTTCACCAAACTCGAATCCAGAACTTACATTTTATCTCAAACTGTTTTCTCATCCCTTTCCAGAATCAAACCACTGTAAGGTAACAGGAAGAAATAATTCAACATCAGGAAACCTTTTCAAATTCCTCCATCTTTACTTCCTATAGGGCAGATCACTTCTTCTACAGTTTGAAATGACAATATTGACATTTTAGTCTTGGGGGTAAAGGAAATCTGACAGACAGTGCTTTGAGGTTATTTATTTCAAATTTTTCCAAAATAAGATAGTAACAGTTTCTCCTGTCAAATATCAAAATCATTTAGACTAAGTATTCCTGAAGAGGACATGCACATATCACATAAAGGACTAAACAAAATAGTGGATTTAATGTGATTTTAACTAATTTGCCTGTCTCTAGACAATTTCTCCATAATTTTCTCTTTCCAAGGCTTTGCTCTTCATTTAGTTAGATTTGCTTGTTCATAAACAAGTTCTCTGTGCAAATACAAAAATTAATTACTTTGCAATCTTTGTTCTAAATTATTCTTTCATGGGTAACTTGTGTTGATTTATTCACCAAAACACAGTTCATTTGATAGCTAATATATATTGATCTGGGTTATCAAAAAAAAATGTACTATAACAAAAAATAATCTTTCTAAGCACAAGTTTGATGATTTCTCTCAAAAAGAAACATTTAATCTGAGGATTGTGATAGAAGTATGTTACGTATTTTTTTTTCCTTTTAATGGTAATAAAAATCAGATAATCATAGTTTAATGTGCAACTTGGATACAAGAGCAGGGCACTGTAGTGATGAAAAATGAGGGAGTTAAAACTCATAGGGGCTATTTTAAATAATAACAGTTTGTCATTCTTTATTTTTTCCACATGACAAATTCAAGACTGTATTTTCATTAAAAATGCAATACTTTACACACTACTTAGTACCTTTTATATTTAATCAGCACACTGAAAGAGATAGTAGTCTGTCAGGAAAAAAAAAAAGTAACCATAAACTTGTATGATTGAAGACTGCACCATAATGCTTATTTTCCAAGAGCTCATTTAGTAGTTTTTTTTTTTTAGTAGTTTTTCTCTCAAATATCTAAAAAGCATCTGAATAATATTTTGTATTTGAAATTTGAGATTCCATTTGCACATGAGGTACTGAGCCAATCAATTTGAAAATGTGCTAAAAGTGAAAAAATTACTTACATTTCTTCAAAGCTGTAAGTTGTCTTTTGCAAGAACTTTCTAATGTAACAAAAAATAATTGTGTTACTTAAGATAATAAATGAGGCCTGTAACTAGGTTATTGAAAAGTTTTAAAGCTTACAGATATTGAATAATATCATAATGCATATAGATGCATTTGTGCTAAGAATACAAATTTTATTTTTCCCCAGATTTATTACAAGCCAAATCATTGCGGGGTGTGTTGTGTTTGTTTTTTTTTTTTTTTTTTTAAGTCATGTGAAGGATGAATCAATACTATGAAAAATCCAGCAAGTTTTAGACTGAAAAAGAATTTCAGCTGCAGAGAAACACAGCCAGATTCACCACACCTCTGCAGCTAGAAGTCTATTTGTTGTGTCACAAGCTTCATTTGACCTGAGCAGTGGCGAGGTAAGTGAGACACCGTCTCAGCTTGTGCCTTGCTGATGGTTTTCTTCCTCTCTTCCCTTCTAGGGGATCCAGCTCATGCTGCAGATGACCACTGGTGCTGAACGTCACAGCTGAAACTGCAACTTGCCCGCCACAGGCAGAGTAAAGATGGATCATCTCTGGTGGCAGCAGGGAAGCTGTAGTGAGGCAGTGATGGGCTGTGACTTTGTGGTTCATTTAGAGAACAGCTGGATGGGGATATTTTCCAGCCAGGGGAGGCAGCAGCTCTTGCATTCCCCCTCCGCAGCAAAGGGAAGTGGCTGCACACCCAGGTAGGACGGGGACAGCACCTGTGCAACTGACTCTGATCTTCCCAGTGGACTTGCTCACTTGGAGAGACTTCAAAGTAGGCTTAACTTTATACTACAGAAGAAAGAAGTCAGATTTCCAAATCACAAGTTATCCTGTATTAAAAATGTAGTATTCCTTGTGGCCAGTGCTGATGTACCCATGAGCATCCTCATAGGCAAATATGTTTCCACCCTGAGACCTGCACTCAACCTGGAAAATATTGCATATACAGCATGTGACAGAAATTATGCCAATACCTCATTACACGTGGTTATCCTACTGCTATACAGAACAAACTACTTTAAAAACATCAAAAAAGCCAAACTATGTGTACTCTAGTATTGCTTTTCTTCACATTTTTCCTGCAGTTTCCTTATGGTTTTGATAAACTCTTTGTGTTTTGAGAGTAGTACTGTTATCGTGGGTTAGAGTCTCTGTGTGAGAAGCCAAGTGCTTTAAGGCTGGCTGTGAGGCTAAGAAAGAAGCCTGGAATGATCAGCTTGAGGTACATCTTAGTTATGGGAATCACAAAATTCTTGCCTGTCTCTGGTGGAAAAGAACTCTCAAGGGCATGGACACCATAATGTTAGGGAACTGCCAACAGCATAACTCTGACTTAGAGATGTGAATGTTTGCTTAAACTTTCTCCAAGGGAGGAAATAGTGCTCAGAACTACACACAGCTTATTTCCACGCTTTTGTGTCAAGAACGGAATTCTCCTAAGATAGGAAATTGAACATAATAACTGTTTATGTAAAATAGTTAATACAGTGATGGTTTGTTTTTTTTTTTTTTTTTTTTAAATCAACACTTTTAGAAAATCGTAGTAGGGGTTTAATAGACAGCTGTTGAAGGACGCATGAGTATGGCAACATTAGCTATATTCAAGCTGCTTGGAGGCCGGAGGCTTTTTCCTATTTTTTTTTTCCCTCTCATAAATCTTAGTGCATGAATAGGTGATACACAGAGTGTTACAATGTCACTTCAATTCTTTACATGAAAGTTAACAAATCCTACATGCTGAAGCAATGTGAAACCAAATTCAACAGAAGTCAGGTGGCTGCTATTTGTGTACTCTAGCATGAGTGCTGGTAACTGTGCAGTGATGGAAGATCAAAGCAAAACAAACAAAACCTTACAATACCTCTATGCTTCCCCAAAACAAAACAACAGTAATTAATGTTGGATAAAACACTTTTGACTGTAAGCTGCTGAATATTACTCACAGAATATATTATCCTCCCAAAGTAGCTGTTATTCATTAAATAAATTATTCAAGAATAATCTTTTGCAGTATTTGACCATCTCTCTATTTGGTTGAATGCCAACTCATTGAACAAACTGTTCAAAAGATAACAGCTTGATTCATGTATAATGTACTTGAAAAGCTTCTTTTCTGGTTCTTACCATCTCTGCTGAGACTAAGTAGTATCCTGGGCATTTATTAATAATTTGTCTTATGGCTGGCAAAAATGAATGTAGGCACCAATAAAGGACAGGATCTGACTTACCCTGAGGTCAGTCAGGGTTTTTCCATTGACTTTAAGCTAGTCCAGGGTTTCACCTGAGGTGTTTAAATGATGACTTTGAATTGTGATGCATATTGTTAGTGTATTTAAGTTTGTCTATAAAGAACTGATTCTATTGTAATATCTTACAGTGATGACAGTGTGCCATAACATTTTGGTATAAACTTTCTATAGATGATTGATGTAGGAATAGAATAATTATCCAACATGAACAGACCTGTTTGTGTTAGTTACCTCTCTTAAGAGTCACTCTTTGAGCTTATATCAATCTGTAAATCACTGAAAGTATGGAAATTGCAGTGGTGATGTTGATATATTTTGGTGATAAATATATGAATAAAAAACCTTGCAAATTTATACTGTCTCTCTGCTTTATGAGAAGCTAGAGTCAGAGGTGATACACAATAAGCAAGTTTCCAGAAGCCTGTTTGCTGAGCAGTTCCTGCTTGCTGGAGACAAAGTGACAATGATAAAAGACCCATGCTGTTGATTACATTAGACAAGACAGGACAAAATAGCACAAGATGTATTAATGTTGAAGTTAGATTTAAATCCAGGTATAAACGACTTCAGGCACTGTGCATAAAGCAAGGGAGCTCAAAAATAAAGCACCATGCATTTATCCAAGGCTAAGGGTTCATCTATCCAGGCTGTGAATGTTTTAAGATGAAGTTTGCAACAACAGCATTGTAATTTGACTTGGAAATCCATGCTGCCTTTCTGCTTGTGGGCACTGCATTGTACACTGAACTAATTTTCAGCTATATTTTTTCTTGTAATCTTTCAGCTTTTTTCTCAAGGCACTTCTTTTCAAAATACAGTCATTTTCATGTGTGACCTTCAATTTCTGCTTATTGCCATGTTTAGATAAGAGCAGATTATTAAATATAATATTGGCCTATTCTTACAATTATGTTGTATTCCAGTAATTGGGGTTTTTTCATTCATTTTCTAAATGCATTATAAGAATTATTTAATACCATTAAGCTTTGGAAAGTTGCTTATAGAACCCCCACTTAAAATTCTTGGATGGTAAGTACATAAGGATTTTTAAAGAAAGATTTTTTTGCTATTGCTTTTTGTGTTACTTTGAACTCGTACAGTACGACAGTTTTACCGAGTTGAAAGGAGACAAGAGTCTCCCCAGCTCCTGATTATAGCTGCAATCATCGTCATTTGGCTTATTATGGAAGATGAAGGTAGGAAGAATATTCTCTGGGAGGGCTGAAAACCTCTGGGACCTTTCCCCATCTTGCTCTGATAAGCCTTAAGACTGACAGCTGCATTCTGAGTTCTGATTTGACTGTGTTTAGTCTGGCTGATGCCAGGGGGTGTTAGTGAGACCTTTCATGTATCGGTACATTGACTGAGTCTCACAATGGCCTAAATGATTTATGGCACTAGGAAAATCATCCTGCTGAGCTGTAGTGTAATCAAACTATTCAGACACCTCAAATATTCACACCTGCTTTTGTTTTTTCAAATTTAATTTTAAATGAACTCTATGTTGACTTCACTGAGCAGGATTTTCCAGTGATTGCAAACATTTACCCACCTGAACTGAGGATGTGTTTGATGATCGCTAATGAGATTGGAAGTATTTTTTTTTACAGATTAGAGCAGTGTATTCCCAGAAGAGTAGTAATGGAATAAGGTGCTTACTCCAGAAGAGCTAAGAGTCTGTGACTGTTAACACACTGCAGTACAGATGGTGGTGAAGCAGGTGTGCACCTGCAACAACAGCATGCAGGTGTAATATTCTTTCCTTTCCTTTCTACAATTCTTCCCATTTTGCTGTTGTTGTCCACAACTTAGGGGGGAAAAGAATTCAACCATTAAAAAGAAACCCTCAACTAATGCTGCCAGCTTCTCCCTTTAGATCTTTAGCTCTTTTGCTTTGAAATAAAAGCTGGAAAATCACTTTTTTTTTTGGGGGGGGGGGTGTCAAAATATTTGGAACTGTATATTTTAAGTAGCAATTCAAAAATGTGAAAGCTCACACTAAAATCATTCACTTGACATCAGTATAAGTGGAACATTTGGATGATAAATGTTTAAAACTAGTTTCTTGTACAAAGTTTTCTCACTCTAGATCTTGGCATTTTGTTTTTATATCCAATAGCTCTCCAAATTACTGCATAAAAATGCCAAGACACAGCTTTGGTTATTAGTTTTGGTTTCTTATGCTATCTTGTTCCAGATAAAACATCAGATAAAGATTTTTTGAGAATGTAAAGGCTTGAAAGTTTCACTTTGATATCAGTACCTACCCCATATCTTTACACTTAATTTGAAAGTTTTCACTAGAAAGAAGAGTAACCAGATGATTTCTACATTCTGAATAAAGTGGGATTGATGCTAATTATGAAGATCAGAAATTGTAACACCCCCGTCTTATAGAAATGAACATGCCATATTACATTTTTACCAGCACTGAAAAGTTTTATATCTCTATTTTTCCACTGCCTAAACTTTAATTATAGTTAAGATAATAGTGGTGGTTCTGAATCACAATAAGTGGAATACTATTTGCAGTGAACATGCTTTCATCTCTCTTTATTTTCCATTTTTCCTTCTTCATTAAAAGAATGGTGTCAAATTTAATTGCCTAAAAATGAGAGACTGCTCAGAAATAATAAATTATGTTGAATTTGGGTTCTACTTGCTAGTCTTTGCTAAGATAAAGTGAAACTGCTTTGGAACTATAATTTGAAAAAAATTTTAATGATGCTAAATGACCAAATGATGATTGTCACTTTTAATGCATTTATCAAAAGACCTCATCTGAGGCTTGCTGCAGTTCAAACTACTTGTTCCTCAAACAATATGAAATGATTTTTTATTCACCTTTAATGTAAAAAATGTGATCTACTCAAATCCTAAATGACAGTCTGCTGTTCAAAAATGTTTGAGTAATGGAAAATGATTTTATAGAACTTGATCAATTTGGCCTTGATCACTTTGGCCTTGATCACTTTTTTTGCAAAACTAAGAATTTGGAAAACCTCTACTATTTGTGAATCAAATATGCTTATAAAGTTGCTTAATAATTTTTGGAAAAGGAAGAGATGAAAGGTGTTCATTTACCATCTTAAAAAGTTACCAGTTTGAAACAACCAAATTCACCACTTCTTTTAATCAAATCCTCCTTCTGCTTAAGTAGCATATACTCTTTCTCCTGCAAATTAGCAGTGGATCTTGAGTTGATGCCCAAGGCAGTGGAGCATTCAACTCTAGATTTCTAATTGTATACTGAATTTGATCTTCTCTCTTATACCATGATTTTGATAATAAACTCACTCAGCCTCACATTACTCAGGGTTGAAAATAGTGAAGACTTTTTAGTCTTAAGAACCAAAACAGAACAGTTGTATATCCTGCCTGTGGTAACTGAGGATTGTGAAGTCAAAATAAATAAGAGCAGTAAAAAATCTATAACTGGGCATTTGTCTTGTAGCAGAAGTATATCTATTCCTTGACATTATGTCTATAGAAGACAATATGAATAAATGTGGGTCATTTTATCTATAAAGGTAAACCGCACAAGCGTTCACATGTAGATAAATTGAAATCTAATCAAGATGGAATGCTGGAATATTATTTGAAAGAGAATTATCACAAAATTAGATATTGATATACTGGTGGAGATCTGTTTAACGAAGTTGTCAGAAGGCAATTTCAGGTACATAAATATTTTTTAATAGAGAACTTATCTAATGGATCGTATTTGATATGTGAGAATGTTTAGATATTAGATTTATTCTTCAGTATTATTTTTTCCTGTATTCACTTTTGAATTTCTGATGTTTGTGCTTTGGTAAAACATCTGTTCTTTTAAAATTTCTTCCCCTTTCATTTCAAGAATCACCAAAGGTATCTTATTGCTTACCAGGGTACTATACTTGTATAGTGGTGTTGTGGAAGGGAATGTGCTGCCTCAGGTACATTAGTGTGATGTCAGTAATGGGACCATGAGGAAGAGGGGATGTGTTTCACAGGACTTAATGATAATTTTACTCTTCTCTGCAATCCCAACAGATATGTCTTTGTCCAAGTTACAGTCAGAGGCTGATTTTTACTTTGAAGTGTTTGTGGGAGTGCTAGACAGAAATTATTTAGGAAATGTCTCTAGTGTGTGTTTGCTTGGCTTGCTGTTTGCCTCTAGTTTCCACTCCCTATCAAATGCTGTAATCATACCACATTTCAGAAGAATAGGATAGATGGGAGTGCTCTGGAAACTTGTTTGTCTATACTGTCTTCTAAAATTTAGATGTCCTGAATCTCAAAGGAAAGCATCAATCTCCAGTGCTTAAACCCTTGCAATTTCCTCCCTTTCATTATTGGTTCTAATACCAAATACAAAGGGACAAACATTGTGCAACTCCATTCAAACACAACATTTTAAGCATTTAACATTTCAGTGATATAAAGAGGACTGAAGCTTACCCGGAGATTATATGTTCATCCATAATTAGTGTGTTGTCAAAACCTAAGGCAAAAAAATAGCATATGCTATATCCAGAAAAACAGAAATATAAAAAAGAAGTCATAGAGTTAGAACTACAGAGACTTGTTATTCCTAATTTTCTTAGTATTAACTTTTCAGGAATGAGCTTATCCTGTACCGGATGTAACACAGTTACTCTCACAAACTTAACACAGTAAAAGTGATCATGCCTATGCAATTGGGCAGATACTACAATATAGATACTGTGCTGCTGCAGTAGCTTCCCAGAATCACAGAATATTCTGAGTTGGAAGGGAACCACAAGGATGATTGAGTCCAGCTCTTAAGTGAGGGACCCATATAGGGATCAAACCCACAACCTGAGTGTTATCAGCACCAAGGTCTAACCAGCTAAGCTAATCTCAGCATGCTGTGTTTAGGTAGCCATGCCTCATGGTTCACAATCTCTAGATAAGATGTCAGAGAAATTATTAAGTAAATAAAAATATTTTACAAACCATGAGGTGCTGGTAAGCCTTTCCATGGATTAGTTCTTGTGTTCTCTTCTCCCCTTAGCTCTCAACATGTGACAGTAGATTCTTTCTGATATTTGGAGGATTCAGTAACTTAGATGTTTTTAAGTTTAATTTAAGTTTTAATGTGCTGAGACATTTCCTAATTCATACAATACTCAAAGAGTGGTAGGTGTTTAGAGCATGAAAACAGTAAGACATGCTTATGCTTGAAAACTGTATAGCCAGAACAATTTATTTAAAACAGAAATTTAGTTACCTTTTTATCCTTTTGTAGTTTCTCCTCTGCTTTTCCACTTTTTGTTTTGTTTTGTTTTGTTTTGTCTATCTCCAG